ACAGGGACCCCCGGGATGGCACAGGGACCCCGGGATGGCACAGGGACCTCAGGAAACGCACAGGGACCCCCAGGAAATGCACAGGGACCCCCAGGAAATGCACAGGGAGCACAGGGACCCCAGGATGGCACAGGGATCCCCAGGATTGCACAGGGACTCCCAGGAATGCACAGGGACCCCCAGGAAACACACAGGGATCCCCAGGAATGCACAGGGACTCCCAGGAAACACACAGGGGCACAGGGACCCCCAGGATGGCACAGGGACCCCCAGGATGGCACAGGGACCCCCCGGGAAACACACAGGGAGCACAGGGACCCCCAGGAATGGCACAGGGACCCCCAGGAAACACACAGGGATCCCCAGGAATGCACAGGGACCCCCAGAAAACACACAGGGGCACAGGGACCCCCAGGATTGCACAGGAACCCCCAGGAAACACACAGGGATCCCCAGGAATGCACAGGGACCCCCAGGAAATGCACAGGGACCCCCAGGAAATGCACAGGGAGCACAGGGGCCCCCAGGAATTCCACAGGGAGCACAGAGACCCCCCCCAGGAAACACACAGGGACCCCCAGGAAACACACAGGGGCACAGGGACCCCGGGATGGCACAGGGACCCCCAGGAAACACACAGGGGCACAGGGACCCCCGGATGGCACAGGGACCCCCAGGACTACACAGGGACCCCCAGGAAACACACAAGGAGCACAGGGACCCCCAGGATTGCACAGGGACCCCCAGGATGGCACAGGGACCTCCAGGAATGCTACAGGGAACACTGGGACCCCCAGGATTGCATAGGGATCCCCAGGAATGCACAGGGACCCCCAGGAATCCCAGAGGGAGCACAGGGACCCCAGGAAACACACAGGGACCCCCAGGAAACACACAGGGGCACAGGGACCCCCAGGATGGCACAGGGAGCACAGAGACCCCCCAGGAAACACACAGGGAACACAGGGACCCCCAGGATTACATAGGGATCCCCAGGAATGCACAGGGACCCCCAGGAATCCCAGAGGGAGCACAGGGACCCCCAGGATGACACAGGGAGCACAGGGACCCCCCCAGGAATCCCACAGGGATCAATCAGCCTGCCCACCCGTGGCGTGACCACCCTGACTGAGAACGATCCACCCTAGGAAAAAATCCCCTGTGCAGATCAGCGTGTGATCTCTGGTGTGGGAGAGTCCTTCCCACTGCTGGCAGGGATCAGGAAACCTCCCAGCAGCTCAGCCACAGCTGAGCTCCATCCCAGGGAGCCCCACACGCTGCAGGATCCCCTCATGGAGCAGTCTCCTGCTTCTCCAGGTGGGGAGTGTGGCCACCACCCCACCCTGCTGCAGCCACCCCCACCCAGAGCTCCCTGCAGGCCCCAGCACAAGCCCTTCCCAAATTTCCAGAGAGCTGGGTTGCACCTCTCAAGAGAAACTGCAGGAATTCCTCCCAGCTCCAACCAGAAAAGAAGCGATTTCCAGGACTTACCCAAGTGCCCCATCAAAATAGATTGCTTTTTCTTCAATGAGATCTATAATTCCCTTAAAGTTTCCTTCCAGCCCAATTGGAATCTGAACAAAAGCTGCATTGTGTTTCAACTTGGATCTGAAAAAGGGAAAATAGGAATTATTGAATAAAAAAGTCATTTCTATGTGTGTGCTCCAGGTGGTCTTTGAGCAACATCCCCCTCCCACAAAAATCCATGTTTTGTCCTTTGGACAGTGCCCAAATCTGCCAATGTGGATAAAAACCACCCAGTTGTGGTTTAGGGCTTTGTGTCCCACCTTTTGTATCCCAACAGGGAGCAATTCCCATGGGAAAGGAGCAGGGGAAAGCAGTTTGAGATTGATTGCTTGATTAAAGGAGTTGCCTCCCCCTTAATGAGTATTAATGAGATTATCTCATGGATCAAATTAGGCAGGGAAAGGCTGGGAGTAAGCAGGACTTCCAGGAATCCAAAGCACCCTGTGTCACCTCCCTGCTGGAATTTCAGCAGCACTGGGATCTAGGGAAAACTAAGAGGCTGCTCTCAAAGTGGGTCCTGATACAGTTCCAACAAAAATAAACATCAACAAAATAAACACCAACAAAATAAACATCAAACCCCAGCCCTTGGGCACTGCAGGTTTTGGCTAATACCAGTATTTGGGGGGTTTTGGGACAATGGAGATTTGTCCTGGGTCAGATCAGGATTTAACCCCGAGTCAGGAATTCTCCAAACTGCAGCTCCCAAGAGGAGCCTTTCCAACATTGTTCCTAATGAGCTGCCATGGGGATGGAATTTCAGGAATCACTGTAAATGCCAAAACCTGAGCTGCTGCACTGCTCTGGCCGGGTTGGAGCCCATCCTGTCCAGTTTGTTGATGAAGGTGAGGAAGGGGACGTTGTAACGCTTCATCTGCCTGTTGACAGTGATGGTCTGGCACTGCACACCTCCCACGGCACAGAGAACCAGGATGGCTCCATCCAGCACCCTCAGAGACCTCTCCACTTCTATGGTGAAGTCCACATGGCCTGGATAACAAATAGAGATAAAAATGATAAATGCACTGAAGTGATGGAGCTCAGAGTCATGGAATGCTTTGGGTGGGAAGGGA